TCTTTTCTGTCTAAAATAGAAAGAAGGGTTTTAACCTTAGCATAGCAAAATACATAACAAAACTGTTATCAAATAAGAACCATAGTAAACAATATTTAGTCCATTAACATTTAGCAAGATTTAAAGCGAGTCTAAAGTACTATATGTAACTTATCTGTAATCCTAACTAAGGAAAACTACAACCATAGCTATCTGTCTTCAACTCTATCACAGACCACAGAAATGACAGACATCTCACTCTCTGGTCAGTCACCCAAAGTTCTTCTGTAATGTTCCATTTTCAGCCTATAGGCCATAGTGTGTCTGGCAGACTCCTCAGCAAAGCAGGAAACTTTAAATTATCCATCTGCATGACACTTTTCTCTGTGTCCTGCAGAATGTCTGGCAGATTCTTCCACGGAGCAGGAACCTTGTAGCAATGCCCATTTTGTTTCAGCAGTCATTTTTTCTTGGGCTCTGAATGTTCAGTTTATACAGCATAAAATCAAACAGTCCAGACAAGAGCAGTATCTTGTCCAATTGGCTAGTTTTGCCATACTGGAAGTAAACTCCACAACCAGTTTCTTTGATGTCCAACTTCCTTTCTGACAAGGTGGTATAGCCAAAAGCAGTTATGTCTCAGTGTCAAGAAAAACCCTAAACCATTTTAAATGCCATATTCTGTAGGTCTTTGAAAGGCTTGAAGAATACCTATTCATCTCAAATACATATCTATATATCTAGAAATCCTAACTGATTTAACTATAAGTTTTGATTGTTATAGATAACTATCTAAAATCTGTACTAAATTATATATTACATTTATAAATGAGCTATATAAACACAGTAGCTAAAAAAGAGGAGAAATATATACATCAAAAAATCAACCTTAAATTTGTATCAATAAATGAAAATGTATTTCAAAACAAAGTATACATTTTTATACCATGATCCCCTTTTTTACCTTTAAAAAGAGATTGGCTGTGGTCATTAACCATGTATAACCAACCCCATTTAGATGAAAAAGAAAACATTTATAAACAATATTTAGGAATTTGGGCATCATTCTTTCTAAACTGCTTCCTGTTAGTAGGGCCACTGTCATCATGAGCCTGCCTTGTCCCAGCTGTTTTGAATGTGGGATCACACTGTTTCAGGGGGGGTCTTGCTTGATCAAAACATGTTAGTTTGGAAGGAATCCACAGCTTTTTATTTTCTGTGGGAAAAAAATAGAAATCCTTTTCCCCATCTGTGATGGACTCAAATTTTGAAGTTAAAGCATTTTTACAATATATAAATTGGATCATTTCTTTTAACAGTTGTTGCTATTTCCTCAGGAGTCAACAAATATGAAGACAACAGAATAGCATACAGTATCTGTGCTTTCCATCCCTTTTTTTTTTCTGTCTGCCAAGTTTTTAATTTTTTTTATGAGGTTTTATGTGAGCTTTGAGTTTTAGTGAGCTTAGTGTTTCTTTTTACGAATGTAGACACCTTTGTATTTGGGGCTTAGATGTTCAGAACTGAGACTTTGTGCTGATGGATTTCTCCTGTGATGAATACAAAATGACCGTCTTCATCTCTTTTGATTAATTTTGGTTTGAAGTCTAACTTGTTAGATATTAGGATACCCACACCTGCTTGCTTCTTGGGTCCATTTGATTGGAAGATCTTTTCTCAACCCTCTGCCCTGAGAATATGTCTGCCTTTGAAGGTTAGATAGGTTTCCTGTATGCAACAGAAGGATGGATTCTGTCTTTGTATCCATTGTGTTAGCCTGTGTCTTTTTATAGGTGAGTTAACACCATTAATGTTGAGGGAAAGTAAGGACCATTGATTGTTAATGCTTGTTTAGTTTAGCTTTGTTGTTGTTGTTGGTATTGTGAATATATTTGTCCTGCTTTACCCTTGGGTTCTAGTGACATGGGATTGTCTATTGCCTATGTCTTTGTGAGCATAGTTAACTTCCTTGGGTTGGAGATTTTCTTCCAGATCTTTCTGTAGGGCTGGATTTGTAGATACATATTGTGAAAATCTGGCTTTTTCAATAATTATCTTGTTTTTTCCATCTAGAGTGATTGAGAGTTTGCCTGGGCTGGCATCCATGAACTATTAATACTTGTAGAACATCTATCCAGGACCTTTTTGCCTTGAGAGTTTCCATGGAGAAGTCAGGTGTAATTTTGATAGGTCTGCCTTTATATGTTATCTGGCTTTTTCCTTTGCTGCTCTTAACATTCTTTCTTTATTCTGTATGTTAGGTGTTTTGATTATTATGTGTCGAGGGGTCTTTTTTCTTTGGCCCAGTCTATTGGTGTTCAGTATGCTTCTTGTACTTTCATGGGCACGTCCTTCTTCAGATTGGGAGAGTTTTCCTCAATGATTTTGTTGAGTATGTTTTTGTGCACCTTTGAGCTGGGCTTCTTCACCTTCCTCTATGCCTATTATTCTTAGGTTTGGCCTTTTCACAGTGTCCCTCATTTCCTGGATGTTTTGTGTTAAGGATTTGTTGAATTTAAGATTTTCTTTGGTAGGTGAATCTGTTTCCTCTTCAGCGCCTGAGATTCCCTCTTCCATCTCTTGTATTCTGTTGGTTATGCTTGTGTCTGTAGATCCGGATCATTTGCCCAGTTTTTCTAATTCCAGCATTCCTTCAGTTTGTGTTTTCTTTATTGTCTCTATTTCAGTTTTGAAGTCTTGAACTGTTTCCTTCACCCGTTTAATTGTTTGTTTGTTTGGCTTTCCTTACTTTCTTTAAGAGATTTGTTCATTTCTTCCAATTTTTTGTTTGTTTTTCTTCAATTTCTTTAAGGGATTTTTTTCACATCATCTTTGAAGGCTTCCATCATTTTTATGAAGATATTTTTTAAGTCGTTCTCTTTTCCTTCATCTGCTTTGCAGGGTTCAGGTCTATTTGTTGTAGAGTGCCTAGATTTTGGTGGTGTCATGCTTGTCTTTCTATTGTTAGGTGTTTTCTTGTATTGCTGTCTTCCCATCGCTTCTTCCCGTTGGTGCAGGTATGGTCTCTCTCTTTATATGCTACTCCCCCGGTGTGCTTGGGTGTGTCAGAAGTTCCATGTCTATAGCTCTGGGTAGTCCAAGCTGTCTAGGAGGTCTCACCTGAGGCAGGTGCCTGGCGATGGGGGTTAAAGATCAGGCTCTAGCAGAGGCCCAGCGATGGGGGTCAAAGATCCAGCAGGCTGGGACTCAGGATGGTCTTGCACGGATAGGCAGATCTCTGGCTGGGGCCTGAAGTTGTGGCAAAGGATTGATGGCGGGGGTCAGAGATCTGGCAGGCGGGGTTTCAGAGTGGTCCACTCTAGTGTTCTCAGAGCAGCTACAGGAAGTTCCCCAAAGGTGGCGGGATTGTTGGGTCTGCCCTATGTTCCAGTGCTCAGTCATAGCTGTGTGACGGTGGGTTAGGTATGGCACAGGGTTGGGGGGACGGCAGGCTCTTCCGGGGTTGAGGGTTGTATCAGAGCACCGGGTTTGCTCTCGTTGGTGACAGGACACGGGGGAATCGAGATTTGGGGCCAATCCAGGGAGTTCCCAGGGAAGGGTGTGGGGGGAATTCAAACCAAACTGGTCCCAGAGTGACCTCCAGCAGAGGCCTTTCGATGGGCATAAAAGCGAGAATTATCCTTTCAAGTTCAGTGAAGAATTGTGTTGGGATTTTAATGGGGATTGCATTGAATCTGTAGATTGCTTTTGGCAAGATTGCCATTTTTACTGTGTTTATCCTATCTATCCAAGAGCATGGGAGCTCTTTCCATTTCCTGGTATCTTCTTTAATTTCTTTCCTTAAAGACACAAAGTTCTTGCTATATAGGTATTTCAATTGTTTGGTAAGCGTTATCCCAAGATACTTCATGTTGTTTGTGGCTATTGTGAAGGGTGATGTTTCTGTGATTTCTTTCTCAGTCCTTTTGTTGTCTGTATGTAGTAGGGCTACTGATTGTTGTTAGTTTATTTTGTATCTTGCTAGTTGGCTGAAGGTTGTTATCAGCTGTAGGAGTCCCCTAGTAGAGTTTTTTGGGTCGCTTATTTAAACTATCATATCATCTGCAAATAGTGAAAGTTTGACTTCTTCCTTTCCAATTTGTATCCCCTCGATCTCCTTTTGTTGTCTTATTGCTTTTTCTAGAACTTCAAGTACAATATTGAAGACATATGGACAGAGAGGGCAGCCTTGTCTTGTTCCTGATTTTAGAGGAATTGCCTTAAGTTTTTCTGCATTCAGTTTGATATTGGCTGTTGGTTTACTGTAATTGCTTTTATTATGTTTAGGGATGTTCCTGTTATCCCTGATCTCTCCACGACCTTTATCATGAAAGGGTGTTGAATTTTGTCAAAGGCTTTTTCAGCATCTAGGGAGATGATGATGTGGTTTTTCTTTTTCAGTTTGTTTATATGGTGGATCACATTGATAGATTTTCTTATGCTGAACCATCCCTGCAACCCAGGGATGAATCCTAATTGGTTATGGTGGATGATTTCTCTGATGTGTTCTTGGATTTCATTTTCCAGTATTTTGTTAGCATCAATGTTCATGAGGTATATTGGTTTGTAGTTCTCTTTCTTAGTCATGTCTTTGTATGGCTTTGGTACCAAGGTAATTCTGGCCTCGTAAAAAAGAGTTTGGTAATGAACCTTCTGCTTCTATTGTGTTTGAGTCAAGGTTTCTTGTTCACCATTCCAGGCTGGCATCTGAGCTTCTGGAGATCCATCCATCTCTGTTTCCCATATATCTGTGGGAGTGCTGAGATTATAGTCTTGGTTTACATGGGTTCTAGAATTCTGGTCTTCATACTTGCATGGTAAGTGTATTACAGAGCCAGCTCCTTAGCCTAGTATGCAGAAAGGCCCATGCATATGAAATTTGCCTCAGATAATTGTAATAAATGTTTGAGATGTATATAACATTGTGCATTCCTAGGTGTATAAGATGATGAGAACATCATAAAAGTGTCTAATCCTACAGACATCATTTTTCTTACTTTAATTTTTCTGTTGTTTTTCAGCTGTTGAAAGTGGACAGATAGATGTTCTGAAGCTGTTGCTTCAACATGGAGCAAATGTCAGTGGATTCCATTCTATGTGTGGATGGAATTCCTTGCATCAGGCTTCTTTCCAGGTAATCTCTGAATTTAGTATTTCATTTTCATGTAAATTATATGTCTTACAATTTTAAAATGACAGTTCTATACAGGTTTTGCTTCCTATTTGCCTGTGATTAATAATGATTAGTACAACACAGAAAAGGCAGTCTAAAATGGTCATCAGCATGACCATTTTAAATATGCCAGCTTCTGTAGTGACTAGAGCGGCTCTGGGCTCTAGGGATTATCTTAATTTAAAATGTCAGCCACATTGTTATTAAACTATCAGAATATGTGGGGTAAAGAGAAATGGTATATTTTATTGTAATTACATGTTTAGAAAGAATGTTTACTTCTGCTTGATTTAGTAATCTAACTTAGGGTTAAAGTTGCTAGAGGCCAGTATGTTTATACTTAATGGGCTGTGCAGAAGTGTAGAGTAATCTGATTAGTCGTGTCTTTTCTATCCATTGAAATGAGACACACTGCATGCATTTTTTTCTTAAAGTTTTTGTTTACTGAGAATTTAAGAAACTAAAATACAAGAAAGGGCTTTCTTAATTTAAAATACATATGTGTACTTAGGGAAATGCTGATGTTATAGAACTGCTTCTTAAGCATGGAGCAGACCGTGAATGCCAGGATGACTTCGGAATCACACCCTTGTTTGTAGCTGCTCAGTATGGGAAGCTCAAGAGCTTGGACATTCTTATTTCATCTGGTAAGAGCTGCTAATCTTTCTACTGGGAAGATCATGGTTTTAATATTTCCTAGAAAGAATGATTCCTGAATTGGATGATGAAATTTATGTAAGTAGCAAATAAAAGTGTACACAGTTGATGTCAGTCCTGGTTATTTTTTTTAAGTATGTCACAAGCAATGACCTATAACCCTGCCCACTTATCTGCATAGGAATGTGGTGGTCCTGAGCAGGTTCCCTCGTAGTTCAATGACTTTTTATGCACACCTATGCTAGGGGGTCATTTTCTATAGTAAACCTTGAATTGTATGTTTTGTGTGGCCTATCTTCTCCACCAGCTCACTTGCTTGTTTCTTCCCCTCCCTGTGTGTGTGTGTGTGTGTGTGTGTGTGTGTGTGTGTGTGTGTGGTGTGTACACTTAATGTATAGGGGATGTGGACGTTAGAGTTCAGGTATCTTTGTCACTCACTTTGTACCTTAGTTTTTTGAGAGCATGGAGCTCAATGATTTAGCTAAGCTGGCTAACCTGATCCACCTGTCTTTCCTCAGTGATGGGGATCTGAGCTCATGCCTCATGCTTGTGCATCAATCATTTAACCAAGCAAGTCAGAGGTCTGGCTAGAGTCATGTCTTGATAATTGTCTGATGATTTAAATGGTCTTATTCAAAATATGTTTGCATTATATTGTGTTAATGGCAGAATAAACTGGCTAAAGGTTTCTATGTGACTACTTACACATGTAGCATTGCCAGAGAAGATGGTATTTCATGACATTATTTTGTAACCAGAAGGGTTCATCATAGAAGGACTATTAAAATCTTTTTAGGGTGTGTGCTCTGGCAGAGCTAAGCCGAGAATTCATAGGTAGTCCGAGGAGGGACATATAATCAGATTTGCTAACTGGTCTACATAGTGAATAGTCCTACCTGGAGGACATAGAGAGACCCTGTTTCAAAAAATGACACAAAGCAAACAAACAACTCTCCAAATAGACCAAAGCTTACCAAAAACCAGGGCATAGTGAAGGTAGGGTTTAAACGAGCCCACCACACCCAAGATAAATGATAAATAGGTGTTTTTTAGGGAAGAACTTACACAGATAAGAGTAAATAACCACCACAGTCTTCCTGCTCCAGAAGATGTAGTCTTCTGCCCTTCTGATGCTCTCCATGACTCAAGAGAGCACACACCTGCCACTTTTCTACCTTAAAGGGATCACATCTGTACCTGAAACCACACCTAAAGGGGGTGGCCATTATTACAAATTCACTGGCAAGGCAAGATGCCACAACAGCATAGCTTTTTATTTCTGTTTTTTTTTTTTTTTTCCCTTACAACTCTTTATATAAAGTCAAGATAGGAAGTGTGAAAGAAATGAATCTTCATGAAGTTTGAGGTGAAGGTGTCTGAGAAATTATGAACCTATATCTTAAAGATGAAGATTCCTGAATAACTTCATGAAATGGTGCATTTTAATGTTAAAGACCTCAGACTCTGGGTGTTAAGTGATGGCCAGAGATCTAGAAAGTAATCAGGCCATGTTTATGCCTGTACCTTTCTTTTAAAATTTTCTTCTCTTAACTTATAATTAGTGATTTTTATATAATTAGAAGGTAAGAAGATCTGTTTGTAATGTAACTAACTCACTTCTAATAATGACTTTCAGTGTCTGTTATGTTTTAAACTTTTCAATTGTAGTCTTAGAGGAGCTAATTCCTTATTATTTCTGATACTCTGAAATTGTCACTCAAATAAAAGGTTGATTTTTTTTTAAAAAGCAGGTCTTAATGTTGACTCTGTTTTGTCAGTAATTGTGTTTATGTCTCTGAAGCTGACCCCAGAAGAGGCACCAAAGTCAAGATGATTCAAGTTGCCTAGAATGTTTGCAATTCATGAAGGTTTCACACCATATTTAATTTACCGTGTAGCTTTTTAAAGATGTACTTATGTAAGATTATATTCAGTAAAAGATAGTCATTATTCCCCATGTCTTATGGTGTTTATACTGAGATCTATTTGAGAATTTAAAAGTTAGCACTATCATGTTTAAACAGATTTAGTTTTTTATTTGCTGATGATAAAATTAGGGAAATTTGCTATTTTTCAAAAGTTTTACAAAAAGTAAGCTCATTTTCAGCCTTTACAAATTTTTTGTTTGTGTTTTTTACTAATGGTAACAGGATCTCACCATGTAGTTTTGGCTATCCTGAAATTCACTATGTTGACTAAGCAGCCCTTTGTTTGTTTGTTTTTTATGTGATAGGATTTCTGTGTGTTGCCTTGGCTGTCCTGGAAGTAGATCTGTAGACCAGGCTAGCCTTGGCTCAACAAAGATTGTCTGCCTCTGCCTCTTAAGTGCTGGGATTAAAGGCATTCGACACCATGTCTGGCTGATCTTTCAAATCTGTGTATAGTAGTATTAAAATAACAGAGTTTTTATTTTAAAATCTCAGATCCTCTAAAAACGTTCCCGTTTATTGTTTGTTTTACTATGCAATACTTATAAAGGAAAAAAAAGGAATAGTAAGACTGATCAATATAGTTTTTAGTTATAGATTCCATGTGTATCAGTCATATCTACTGGTAATTTCTCCCTTAGTCTAAAGTCAGTTGCTGACATCCATAAAATATCATAGCTTATGCTTTCCTGGGAATTATCATCCATGTTATCTATATTTATTCTTTTTTTAAAATTTATTTATTTATTTTATATAACCAAGTCCATTTAAATGAAAACAAACATTTATACACAATATTTTGGAATTTGGGCGTCGTTCTTTCCAAACTACTTCCTGCTGGTAAGGGGCACTGTCATGGGGATTTGAAGAAGATTCAGAAATCCTGGCTGTAGTCTGTAAGGCTGCTTTGTCCAGCTGTTTTGAATGTAGCATCACCTTGTACTCTGTTTCAGGCGGCCTGGCTTGATCAAGCTGGGAAGGAATCCACAGCTTTTCATTTTCTGTGGAAACAAAAGTAGAAATCCTTTTCCCCAGTAACTTGTCCTTGAACTTAAAGTTTGGAGTCAAAGCATTTTTTTTTTAAATTTAATTTATTATTTTACATGTCGATTCCAGTTCCTTCTTCCTCCCTCCCTCTCTCTTTCCCTCCCTCCCTCCCTCCTTCCATCCCTGCCTCCCTCCTTCCTCTCTCTTTCCCTCCCTCCCTCTTTCTGTCCCTCCCTCCCTTCATCCCTCCTTCCCTCCAAGAGCTGGAATTATGGGCCTTTATTACCACTTCTAGCCTCTTTTCCTTATAAAATATTTATGCTTTGGGACTTGAGAGATGGCTCAGTGGCTCAGCCCATTGCTGCCCTTACAGAAGGGTGGAATTTAAATCCAGCACTCATGTTAGGTAGACTTACTATGCATGAACTCCAGCTCCAAAGGGATCTGATTCCCCCTTTGGTCTAAATTGTTACTTGCAAGGACATGCTTGGATGTGCGTTCTCGTTCTCTCTCTCTCTCTCTCTTTCTCTCTCTCTCTCTCTCTTACACACATGCACCCAAATCATGATACTTTGTGCTTTGAAACCAAAGTGCTTATTGGAAGAGGGATTGGAATAAGTAGCCTTCATTGACTATGATTTTTTTTGTTCAAAAATGAATTTTAAAATGTGATGGTTTGTGTTCTAACTGATGGAGACCAAAAACAGTTTAAATGATTGTCCACAGGGTAGTAAAATAAGTATATTTTCCTCAGTAGCTCCCACTGAGGGCGAAAGCTGCCTTTTATGGCAATTTGAAGTTTATTTTATTGTGTTAGTTTTTAAAAACACCTATGAGGATTATTGATGTTTTGTTTTGTATTAGGTGCAAATATCAATTGTCAAGCCTTGGACAAAGCTACTCCCTTATTTATTGCTGCACAAGAAGGTCATATAAAGTGTGTGGAACTTTTGCTGTCCAGTGGGGCAGATCCTGATCTTTACTGTAATGAAGACAATTGGCAATTGCCTATTCATGCTGCTGCACAAATGGGTCATACAAAGTAAGTGCTCAAAATGGAATAAAAATGGTTTCAGAGGTAAAAGCAAATAAAGGGTAGATTAGAGCTATACCCTTTAACTTCAGGTAAAATCCTTTCTGTAATCAATTAGGGATGCCTAAATTTACTCCCCACCTCCCCCATGCTGTTTTCATCTCCTCAGCTCCTCTAAATTTTCCATTTCCCCATGTTAAGGAAGACTGGCTGGAGATGGGATGGGGTAGGTACCAGAGCTTTCTCAGGAATATATATATATATATATATATATATATATATATATATATATATTTTTTTTTTTTTTTTTAATTATTTTCCTTATTTTACCTATCCTTCCCGTCCTATTCTGCACTCACTCCACAAGGAGGGTGAGGCCTTCCAGGAGGGATCATCTAAGTCTGTCAATTCATTTGGAATAGGGTCTAGGACTTCCCTCCTCTCTCTAGGCTAAGGGAGTATCCCTTCATGGCCAATGTGCTCCCAAAGTCCTTTTGTGCATCCTAGTTTCCCTGTCAGAGGTCTCATAGACTGCCCAGGCCTTCCAACTGAGACCGATGTTCAGGGGTCAGTCTAATGCTGGTTTCCCAGATATCAGTCTGGGGGTTCATGAGCTCCCCTTGTTCAGGTCAGCTGTCTGTGGGTTTCTCTAGCCTGGTTTTGACCCCTCCAGGAGTTCAGCTCAGTGTTTAGCTATGGGTGTCTGCTTCTGTTTCCATCAGCTACTACATGAAGGTTCTAGTATGGCATATAAGGTAGTCATCAATCACATTGTCAGGGAAGGGCATTTAAGGTAGCCTCTCCACTGTTGCTCATATTGTTAATTGGGGTCATCCTTGTAGGTGTCTGGACATTTCCCTATTACCAGTTTTCTCTTCAACCTGATAAGGCTCCCTTTATTATAGTATCTCTTGCGCTCCTCTATGCATTCCCCCACTCAATCTTCCAGCTCCCCTATGTTCTCCTATTCCCCCTTCTCCCCTTTTCTTTTTCATGACTCCCTCTCCACTCACTGTCCCGCCTTCCTGCTCCCAGTATGCTCAGGAGATCTTATCCCTTTCCCCTTCTGTGAGAGACCATGTATGAATTTCTTAGTGTTACCAATAGTTTTCCTGCAAGCCTGAGCCCACCTCCGTGTCAGCCCCAAATAACACAAAGAGACACTGTATTAGATATAAAGCTATTGGCCTGTTATTAGTGTTACTTATTGGCTAGCTCTATCTTAAATATTAACCCATTTCTACTAATCTAAGTGTTTCCACATGGTCTTATCTTATCAGAGAGAGGGTCCGAACTACTTCCTCCCTCAAATCTCTACATCTTGAATCTCCTCCTGCTGTTCCTGAATCCTTTTTGTCTCCTTTACCTGCCTATCTTGCTTTCCTATTGGCCAACAGAGAAACCAGTAAGAGGAACATATTTACAGAATGACATCTCCCAACATCCTAGGTTCCTCTTTATATCCTAGTTTCTCTGGCAGTGAATTGTAGGCTGGTACTCCTTTGCTCTATGTCTAAAATCCATATATGAGTGAGTACGTACCATGTTCCTCCCATGTTCCTCTTTGTGACTGGATTATCTCACTCAGAACGATTTCTTCTAGTTCCTTCCATTTGCTTGTGAATTTCAAGATTCCCATGGTTTTTTTTTTTTTTTTTTTTTTTTTTCCTGTTGAGTAGTATTCCATTGTGTAAATGTGCCACATCTTCTTTATCCATTCTTCAGATGAGGGGCATCTAGGTTGCTTCCAGGTTCTTGCTATTACAAATAATACTGCTATGAACATAGTTGAACAGATGTCTTTGTTGCATGGATGTGGATCATTTGGGTATATGCCTAAGAGTGGAATTGCTGGGACCTCTGGTAAACTGATTCCCATTTTCCTGAGGAACCACCATAGTGATCTCCAAAGTGGCTGTACTATAGTGGATTAATAAGGATCTGGAAAAACAGATAGGCTGAATAGATGTTTATTCAGGGAGAAATAACTTACAGCAGAGACAGAGGGACGCCAGCATGTTCCTGGTCTCAAGGATGCATCTGGATGCCCTTTGTCCCTGTCCAGCAAGTATGAAGAGTGCTCCAGGGCCCCTTCCCCAAACCTAGTTCCCCCAGGTCACGTTCGCCCCTGTGCCCACTCCCAATGGTCATGGTCAATGCAACATGTGTGGACAGAGTCAATATCTCAGCACACAATTCTCCTTTTAGTCTATAGGAAATATTTAGGCTTGATACAAAATATATCCAAAGCTGTGAATAACAAGTATGCTTTAATAAAAGGAAAATTGAGAACATACACACTTAAAGCCTACATATCTAGTCCTAGGGTGAAGGCATAATGGTGCTTACAATAGAGTTGTCCTAAGCTGGAAAGCTTAAGTCTAGTACCTAAAATATCTAACTAGGAAGAGAGAATAATAATTGTGATAGTCTAATCTTCAGCCTCATCAAAGACATGAGAAGGAAGATAACAATACTAGGGTAGGCAGGAAGTGTGGATTGGCAACTTACAAATGGTGCAGCCAGGATAGAAACAGTAAGTTACCTGGACAGTCTCCCAAAGTCTCACAGCAATGTTGTTGCAACAGTCTTGGCTAAAGCCTAGAGTATCTGACAGACCACTACAGAAGCAGGGAGGTAGAAAGGCAGTTTCAGCAGTCTTCTATGTTTGCCTCCTATAAGCACATAGGACAGCACATCCAAATCAGTGGTTGAGGTAGGGGAGGGCAGTTCTTTGTCCAAGAGGTCATAGCCAGGGCAAGGATGGACTCCAGAAGGAGTGACAACAGTGCCCAACATATTTTCGGGAAAAGGGCGGGGCTGTCAGGAGCAATAGTGTCTCATGTCAATGGAATACTAATATTAAAACATTTAAATACCATGTTCTGCATGTCTATGAAGTGTTTGAAGATTAAGCATCTATTTCTAACTAATGGCATAGGTATAAAAACATGGATGAAGATAATCTATAATACTCAGGAACCTAGCTATGAAACTGGTTGAAACTTTCCTGACTAAAGCTTAAACTATATAACTATGCACATATATATATACACATGTAAACCTCTAAAACAGAGGTAGAGTAGAAATGTCTTGACCAGAGGTAGAACTGTATAGTGTAGCATGATATAAATATCCTAAATTGTATTGATATACAAAATGTCTTCAACATAAGTATACATACATAGAATATGGTAAGGATATTGTGCACAAAACATCATAAATGGAAAGATTTTACACAATATGACAAAATATAATATAAAACCATCTGGGAAGGGAATATAAACTTAATTTTACATAGGTTACCTCATATAAGATTCTATAACAATGTAAGCTGTATATTACTAATTCTCACTATTACTAAGATAATTCACAAGAAGATAGGCTAATCTACCTATAAACCATACCTGAGTCTATGCATCACCTTCCATACCCAACCCTAAGTAACTAAAACAAACCTTATGAAGATGAATAGTATCCCTAAAAGTCAAGAGTAGGAGAAGTGGGTATCATTATCTTAAGATTACTTCCTGTTAAAATAGGATGATGATTGCTCCATGAGATCCTGTAGTAGAAAAATTTTTAACAACAAAATTTCTCAACAGGACTGGATGGGACATTTGTAGCTAGTCCATGTGAACCAGGAATTGAAACTCTGGCTGAGGTGTAATAAGAAGGTGCACCATTTCGGCTAGCTAGTCAGGAGTTGTCTTGAGCATAACAGTCCCAACTCGGTTTTACGGTGATGTTTGTAGTCCAGATGTATCAGATTGAGTCAAGTGGAAAGGAGGAAGTGGGGCCCCATCTTTTTTTTTTTTTTTTTTTTTTTTTTTAAATAACCAAGTCCATTTAAATGAAAACAAACATTTATAGACAATATTTGGGAATTTGGGCGTCGTTTTTTCCCAAACTACTTCCTGCTGGTAAGGGGCACTGTCATGGGGGATTCGAAGAAGATTCAGAAATCCTGGCTGTAGTCTGTAAGGCTGCTTTGTCCAGCTGTTTTGAATGTAGCATCACCTGGTACTCTGTTTCAGGTGGTCTGGCTTGATCAAACCACATTAGTCTGGAAGGAATCCACATCTTTTCATTTTCTGTGGAAACAAAAATAGAAATCCTTTTCCCCAGTAACTTGTCGTTGAACTTAAATTTTGGAGTCAAAGCATTTTTTTTTATTGAATTTATTATTTTACATGTCGATCCCAGTTCCTTATTCCTCCCTCCCTCCCTCCCTTTTACCCTCTCTGCCCTCTCATATACACCCTAACCACCCTCCCCTCCCATCCCCCCACCCAAATTCCATATGTAGGGGAATGCCATCCAATTGGGGTCATGTAGATCTGACAGGTCCTGTGAAGTAGGGAGTAGGGCTTCTCTCCTGTCTCTAGATTAAGGCAGTTATCCCTCCATGGGGGATGTGTTCGCAAAGTCCTTTTGTGCACCAGGGTACATCCTAGCTCCACTGTCTGAGGTCCCTTAGACTGCTCAGTCCTTCTGGCTGAGACCCATATTCAGGGGGGCCTGAGTCAGTCCCATGCTGGCTTCCCAGCTATCAGTCTGGGGGGGCATCTTTTTTATGGAGAATTCAAAGATTGCTGTTAGGAATTGTTATTATTCCTTGTGGAGAACTTAAACAACAATACCAATGTAAAAGTTTCAACTTTTAAGGTATGCATATTGGGAAAGACAACAATAAGCATGAAAATGTATATGAGAAAAATTAGGATTTCAGAGAGAAAACCAAGTATACGCAAATGACAGTCCCCAAATTTTGTTTTCTTCTGCCTTACCCGAATTGGTTTCTTGATATAAGGCAGAAACTGTGAATTTTATCTTAATAACATGCTTGAATTTAGAGAAGGAAAGCCAAATCCGGTTCCAAATCCAACATTGGTTTACATGAACTGGGACTAAAGGAATACTAGATAGGAAAGAGAAATAAATTTCCTGTATAGAAATAGTTCACTAGAAATTATTATTATTATTATTATTATTATTATTATTATTAT